ATGAAAGCCGTTCCAGTCAACTCGCTTTGTTGACCTCTGTCTCCAAATGGAGTCCTCAGAACGAGCAAACCACTGGCTAGTGACCCTGACAGAAATTTTTATGCCACGCAGCGAATGTCGAGCTTGAATCTGAAATATTGCCACTGCACAACACCGTCACACAATATCAGGTATGTCAGATAGTGACAGAACGACTTGGGGTCAACGAACTGACGGTGCCATTTCCTGCAAAGCCTGAGTCTTATTCTTTTACTCTTCTTACCCTCGGTGAACCAAGATGTAGCAGACTGCACTACTACATCGGCACATGGCTGGCAGTTTAACTGAGCTGAACATCCGAAAATTCCTTTGCCCTTTCGACCTTGAAGGAGAGAATTTTCCATCTGCTATTCTAGGTCGGCAGGTGTTTGTCATCAGCGACTTGATCAATAGGTTTTTGAAGACCAACCGTTGGTCTCATTATCTCGTCTATTGCGAGCTTTTTTAGGAATGGAGAAGGGGGACGTTCTCGTTAGGCTCCATTGTTTGTACGAAACCTTTTTTTAGAGTCCCCCGTATGCCCTCACGCTCGCAAATCTGAGAACCTAAAGAACCTAACGTTACATGGGCTTACACCAGAATTATAGGTCGCTTATACGCAATGCGTTGTTCCAGCACGTGACGGACTTTGAAGGTGTGGTCAGCGCAATGTCTAGCAGGCCGAAATCATGTTTGCTGCTCACGGGTCAGCACTTTACAAATCAACATAGAGCGCAATATACAAGTGGCGCCAAGCGTCTCTTCACGGCGAGTCAAGCTAATCCTTCTGTGATTGCCGCATTCACTAGGAACCCCTGTGAAAACAGATTTTCCTAACGGAATGTTAAAATCAAATAACAGACACGTATTCCATCTGAAACCCGTAGGATGTAAGTTCAACCGAATACATGGCCATAGATGCCGCTCTAGATTGGCTGTTTTCCCACATCTAATGCCAGTTTTCTACACTCCCATTCCTACTGACTTAGACATGTCTATAACCTATATACAGTGTTCCCCTTAGCTGATGGATTCACTGCTGACAGGAATACGGTATTTGTGCCAACACTTTCGGGCGCACCAATTCTCGGAATTCTCTCTTTTTAAGTGAATTACGTTCTCTCAGACACTTGGTTGAAGGGACACGTACAATATGTGAATTATCTAAGAACGACACTGCGTCAAAAAGGGCAAATGTGTTCCAAAGCCTAAAAGAGGAAAAAAATCCTTTAGCTGTAGCACCCTTTCGGCATTTTAACTGCCACGCCACCCGGAGGTTGCATGAGGGCTGGGATACTGCCAGGTTACCCAAGCCTAGATAGGGGAAGTCGAGAGGCGGAGGTCGGGTTTGAACCATGGAACTTCCGGTCGGTAAATTCGTGCCCTAACTACTTGGACCATCTCGCCTCCAAAAGACAAACAATGTATTAGCGGGGAAGCAACGAGAACGCCATATGCAACAATAATGTTCGTCCAGTTATATTTAAAGCTCCAGAGTAAAAAGAAGAGAAAGACTGGGTGAGGGAGGAGACCCAATGCTGGTATACGCCAAGCATTCTGATCTACCTACACCTCCAAGTGCTCAATCAAATAATCTGGAAAGAAACTGACAGCAAAAACTTTACTGGTATCGATCAGCCGCCATTTCTTGCAGTGTCTCCAGCCAAGCGCAGCGGGGGAGGGATAAGAGAGGATTGGATCCTGAAAGCGTACAACAACAACACCCTAACTCTTCGTCATCTCTTTCACGCCATTGTGCCAGTTCTTACCTTGTCCATCCTTCGGTCTGCGCCACTCTGAAGGAGGCATGGAGAACAACACTCTTCTCGATAAACGGTATCTTGGGAGCGCATGACCGCACCACCACAGTTCATAGCGCTGGATGTTTTACGCAGCTAGGTGCCTGCTGTACAACCAAATATCCGTTTTCTAGTCGCCTCGTTACTAATCCGTTGACAACAGCAACGGACAACCAGCAACGCTTCTGGTTCATAGCGCTGGATGTTTTACGCAGCTAAGTGCCTGCTGTACAACCAACTATCCGTTTTCTAATCGCCTCGTTACTAATCCGTTGACAACATCCAAAACCAGCAACGCTTCTTTGTATTCGGCGGTCAGAAACCTAAAGGCATCCCATGCCATCTACCCGCAGAGGCCACGTCTTGCTGTCATTCAACGAAACAGTCCCTACTGGCACACGCAACCAGTGATATGCCTCAGCAGTAGAGCGCGAATTTGCTGTTCGGAAGGTCTGTGGTTCGAACCAGACCTCTGTCTCTCAATTTTCCCTTTCTAGGCTTGACAACTTGACACTATCCCATCTCCCGTGCTTCCTTCGGGTCGCATGGCAGCTAGGCACCGAAAGGATGTTACAACTGAATGATTATCTTATTTTATATGCCTTTTTATTGCCACAAGGGACGCAAGTTACCAAACGCGATTCGGGCATTGAGACTCCTGCAACGACTTCATCAAAACACTGCCGTCAGAGCTAATGCAACCACTGAGGTATGTAAAATTATCCACAACTTCCAGTGATTCTCCTTGAATCGTAAGGTGTACGCGACAGCGAGCTCTCCATTCAGACCGGTTACTTGTCGTGTCCTGCACGGCTTTCACCCATGTGTGAAGAGAGCCTCACGAACCCAAACAAGGAAGGCACGAAGACATCACGCTGCTCAGCTTGACAGTAGCCGCTTTCACGTTGCGTTACCATGTAATTGCGTGCAAACTCGAGGTAGCTCAGTGGCTAAGGCGCTCACTTACTGACCAGAAGGTCCGTGGTTCGATCCCAACCTCAGCATCTCGACTGCTCCTTTCTAGGCTTGGGCTACTTAGCATTACCTCAGCTCTCGTGCTTCCTTCGCATGGCATGGCAGCTGGACACCGAAAGGGTGTTACTGATAAACGATCGTTATATTATTTGCCACTACATTTCTGGCACGCCCTTCGCGAGCCATTTGCCATCATGGTCTTGGATTGGAAAATTATATTCTTTGTAGATGATGGTTGAAAATACATAGTACGTGCATCGACTACCTTCATCTGATAGGCTTTACCCGCTAGTGAACCGATTCCCTGGTATCACCTAGCGCATTTCATGCATCCTATGCGACAAACATGGCGGCGATAGGATATTTCGGGACACCCGACATCCTCAGATCCAAAAGGTCAAGTAACTTGAGGTGGGCGAGCCGCAGCTATATAGCCTGACACAGCCCTTCAACCTCATCGAAATTCGTTTTCGGCTCCAAGGATGGCGCAAACCGACAAATATTCCTCGTGTCTTGGTGCTGCGTCATTGTCAGAATACTCCAGGATTAAAAAATGTCACCAAAAAGAGGGTTGAATATGAAGTCCGTGATTTAGGTCGCGGCTGCACCAACTAAAGAAACAAAAGACTCACTGGTACTGGCTGCTGGTGTCTGGAAATGCAACCTCTGAGCCCGTGGTTCGACTAGCTGCAGTTTTGCTTCTTCAAACTGCTTTTGTTGCTGTTGCAATATTCCTCAGAAGGGATTAAAATTGATAGACTCCATGGGCTCCCGTTCGCCAATTGTATTAATGACAGTGTTTCGGTTCAGTTAGTCTGATCCTCTCAAGCTAGAGTCTTCAGCTCAAGGACCACCAGAGAAACACAAAGTGTATTAAACATCCAAAACCAGGTGGCATTTAAAGTGTATACAGTGACAACGTTCTGGAGATTCGGCGCCTTCTGGATGTGCCATTGGTAACGGTCTGTTGAGTCCACGTTCTAGGCCAATCAACTCACTTTGATACTGGGCCGGCAAACGGCCAGGTATTCTGAAGAATCACGTGTGGATTGAGCTTGTTGGTTGTAAAAGCGCCTAATTGCGAGCGATAAGGCGGTTTCGGTGCAGGACTTTGCCTAACATCTTGGTAACTTTTGCGAATAAAGACGCAGTTATTGAGGAACCCAGTTTGTTGTGTCACATTCTTGTTTTTAAATTACCCTAAGCAACATAGCCAAGGCTAACCATCACGAAGAGAATACACCTTACAATTGTGTGACGATTTGTGACGTCCTTTCCTATGTCAACTTAGCTGGTAAGACAGTGTGTTGCCCAACTGTGGGTGAATGTTTGTGTGGGTAATTTGCCGAGTTGTTTTCGATAACGTCATGTTAGTGTGCACCGCATAAATGTGTGACACTTGCAGACCCCTGAGTTGTCAGAGGTTGCCCTTCGGCTCCCCTCAGCTGGACACAAAGTTGTCAGCATCCTCAGTGGATACATCATTTTTGAATCCCTGTACACCGTCCACGTCTCATTAGGAAGCTGTAAAGAAGTGCCAAAGTTTTTACTGATCTTGTCAACTTCGTGGTTCCAGTACATTCAAAAGCCTCTCTTCTACCTTATGTAGACTGTACTTGACGACGTATTGTCCCAGGTCGTCCGTGTCGGCGAACATTTTTTAGCATACAACCCCAGGTCGACCTGATTCACTGTCTATCCCGTACATTTGGCTACCGTTTATAACAAAATCACAAACGAACACCTGCTTGAGTTAGCCGTATTACCGCTTACTGAGCTCAGGTTGAAACGTGAAATTATCTGCAGATGGCGTTGAGCTGATGCTTGGTGAAGATAAGCCATGGTTCAGAGTGTGAACATTATGCCCCTGGAACTAAACGGATTTGCTTAGCGTTCATCTGTCCCCGCATTTGTCATCCAATTAACGCACCGGCTTTCTAACAGTCCAAGTTCGCTATATTACAGGTTTACTAATTGGGGAAAATGGTGTTTAATAGCAGCTGTTCCTGTGCCTAGAAATTTTAGGTCTTTTGCAGAGGGTAACTTTGGTGTCATAGGATAGAGTTTACTGCCTCGTGTTTGGATTCGTGGGATGCCTCAAACTCTCCCATGAATTTCTCTTCTAAGCTCGCAGGAATTTAAAGGGTTGTTTCCCATTCAGGGACCTCGGGCTGCTTTTTCTGAAGCCTAACCAGATATTTCCACCATATGTACCCTGCGGGCTTTTCGCTTATTGATATCCCGGTGAGTCTTTACACGTTATTGCTTGGTCTTCCGGTGCGTCAGTTTCTTCCGTGGGAACAACGCTGCTTCATTACGGCTGCTTGACATAGTGGAATTCTATTAGTATGTGGGAATGATTTGTCTGAGGTGAATGGTCGATTAACATTCGATGAACACCTTTGACAGGCAGTTCATAATAAACTTAACTTTGGGAATCGGTCAGCGGCATTGACGTGAATTTTGGGGTTCGTTCGCGCGAAAACCGGTGTGTTCACCGAACAGCGTGTTTTCATACTACTCACGAGTAGGCTGAATTCAATGTATGAATTACTTATTCTTGCCAGCAGTTCATTCGACATAACCCGGGCCTTGGTGAGAAACAAGTAACAGGCCAGCGTTTCAATTCTTCTCAATTAAACCATTCTGGGCTCATGTTTTTATCATATTTACAAAGGCAAGCATATTCAATGCGCGCGCTGTTAATGTCTTCTCGATTGGCGACGAGTATGGCGAGCTGGGTAGCCACCAAAAATTTATGCTCGTCTACAAGTCACTCATGTGGAAACATCACTTGGAGCACAGTCATGCCTGATCACAGTTGAAGTAAAAAAAATGATCGGTCAGTTAAAGTGTTAGGCACTCCATGTGTGGGTACTACTTTCTACTCTATAGACATTCCTTGAATTTCTTTGGTAAGGTGAATTGCTACAATCGAAAAGTGCTAGACCCGCCCTTTCTCTGAACCATCTCGCGCCGTGTTCATAGATAAACTTGCACCACGTGCAATACGGTGTTACTGTTCTTTCGCAGTGGGGCTAATGGCGAAGTCAACATATAGAATCAGTGCCCTCGCTCCTCTTGTGACCACTCAGTGTTCGCCAAGAAGCAAACATTTAAAATGCGCAAAGATCATGAGTGCATGCTACAGAATAGCTAAGGTCAATTTTGTGGTTAAACTAATTAGCGCCAGTGTAAATTCGCTGAATTCCACCTTGTATTAATCGTGATTTCCATAATCCCATCTATTATTTTGATCGTTTAGTTGAGATCCCAATATGTGCCCATTTTGCCGTGTTTATAGTACACAGTGCCTCCTGGTTAATCTCAACTTGGATTCCGGTACCCATGCTTCGGTAGGAAAGTGCAAGCTAAATACAGAATGTAATTGCAGTTACTTGTAAACCTCGACCGCAACTCTGGGTTCGATGACCGGCTTGTCGAAATCGTGACTTATCAGTCCGAGTTCGATTCCCTTATGTGCCTTCCAGCTGGCTGCCTACCCGTGTTCCGATAGTTTGTCCATTTGTCATTTCGCAGCTGAAAGGGTGCTCTTCAACCTTTCGAAAGCACCAGTTGTTTTCTAAGTGCGTAGAAGTGGACCGTCTTCACGTTACGCTCCCTTGTACCCTTTTTCAGCCTTGACAAAACACCAAAGCATGAGTGACTGTCTAACTTCTCGGTGGACCTACCGTAAGTTGTACACCTTGATGGTTGTGGTCTACAATCAGTGGGATCCTAATCACCCACCACAAGTGATGAAAAATGGACAACTTGTTGTAAGTGATCCAGAAGTTATCGTTTAATTGCATACTTGTTGTTTGCGTTGTTCATTTCACTATAATCCACAAAAGAGAGTTAGTCCACCTCTATCCTTTTGTTATGTGTAAACTATAGCCACTTCATTTCCAAAGTATGGTCTCGCAGTCGCAGACTCAACTGAATTGTTACTAGTAGCAGTTTTATCAGGAGTTACATAGCTCTTTTTCACTTTCAGCTGTTGACGATTCTCATTTAACTTAATGGTTTCAGAGTTTCAACCATACAAACAGTCCAACACGCTGGCTTCTACTTGGCCTCAAACAACGCGGTTTCGGTCAGGGTCGTTGGAACGGTTTTGGTGGGAAAGTTCATTCCGGCGATTCTAGCCCGAAAGCTGCAGCCTTACGTGAGCTAAAAGAGGAATCTGGGTTGGATGTTTCAGATGAAAACATAGAGGAAATCGCTCGCTTATGGTTTACGTTCACCGAAAACGATGAGGTTAGTTTATATCAACGAAAAAATCAGTGTGCAGTGAGAGATCCAACATATCACTCAATAGATATGTATTTGTTTCCTGTTTCTACTGAACTCGACAAGTAATTGACTGTCTGAGTTTGGATGGAGGGCACCACCACCTAGCATTCGTTTGTATTGGTCATCCGGTTACACCAGACAGGCTCGACTCTGACAAGTTCCATTGTCTGAGATGCTTCTGTTCACCCGTCAGTTTTCATCCCCGTTAGTGCCACTTGAGGCCGACGGACCGACCGGTGCGCACCGCCATCCTACCTGTCGTCTGTCATTCACCTTGCTACCTTAGCAAACACCCTGTCGACCCAAGAATCGTACGTATGGTACCCATTTATTGTATCGGCTGGCGAAAATGCGAATTCTGTCGATTCCATTAACCTTCAGTCAGTTGATTGCTTTCAATAATTGGACTAATACTTCGTGGGAGGGAAGTCTTCTCGATTTACCTTGTTTCCAGACATCAGTGGCTTCTTGGTCAACTGTTCATCAGTAGTTTCTCAAACACCCTGTGTATAGTCCGGGAGACAAAGCTGATTTATTTAGATCGGTTTAGACGTTTTCCAATTCGGTTGAAGGATTTAACAAATAGTTTTCAGCACCGGAGATGGGCATAAAAGCGAGAGCCATTCACATCTTGGCTTCTCGTCATCACGGTCTCAACCGTTTACTGAAAACACGAACACTTAGCAAGAATAGAAAGCGAAAAATGAGAATAATGCAGAAAATATTTGGTTCGTCAGGACAAGTGTCTGGTTACCATCTGGTGTTTTTAAAAGTTAAGTTGAGAACCAACGAAAGCGGAACATCTGTGCAACTAGTACCAGCTGTTACAGTTCTGCTGCCCCCGGACGCATTTCAGCTCATCCGACTTTGGCTCACACAAGAACGAACATGTTCTGCTATCCAGGCCCCTGTGCAATCATGAATGGAACTCTAACCGAGTTTTTTATACCGCATTTATCACCCGTTTTCATGAGAACTAAGTTGTCACCATAGGTAGCTCTAACCGTTGGGTCTGATGACTAGTTTTCTAGCCACTGATGTCACTTGATTTGCTTTTGAACCAATGTACCGCTCTGTCTGTCACTGGGTTCCATTCATGTAGACCAATTTCTACGTCTGTTTAATTTGTTTTTCAGTTTTTGGTTGACGGTATCAGTTCGCCTAATCGTGATCAACTCCGTTTTCTAGGGGATAGTTGATGAGTCGGGATGTTTGTTCATGCAGCCCGCAGCTTGAAAAACCAAGCCGGAAGCACTCAATAAGTTTCGGATTTCTTGCCTGTATCAAGCTGCTTAGTGAATTGTTCCTTTCTGGAGTTTGCACGCATCATTTGGGAAGTTCTGTGGTCGCCATAGTCCGTTTCCCGGATTTCTAGACAGCTCCGAATCCTTAGCCTCCTTTTTATGTTTTTTTATTTGCCTCGGGGTACGATCCTAATGTAGTAAACCTCTTCAGGGAAGATTTATGAAAATGAGACACTTCTCATATAGGGTTTTTTCTGAACTCCTTATGGGATTATTGAAAACCCCATAAGAGTCTGGAGTACCCCACTGATCCGAACAAAAGATAGTGAACATGTCTGTATGAAGCCAGGTGCCTTCCCATCAGGAATATCGGCTTTCCGTATGCCAGACATCTCTCGACTGTCGCCATTCGTCGCATGCTTACCGTGGGTTTGTAGATGGATGAATTTCAAGTGCTAGGAGATTGGTGAAATGCTATTTCGACGAGGAAAATCACCCACCAAATACTGAGCCTGTTTGCTTGGTCTTAGGCTAGCTTACCCCACTCATGAGCTCAAGATGGCTCAGTGGTTAAAGATCGAATTTACTGCCGGAGGGTCGATGGTTCGAACTCAGCCTCTGCATCTTGGCTGCTTCTGTCTAGGTTTGGGCAAAGTGGCATTATCTCACCCTCGTGCTTTCTCCGAGTAGCATGGCAGCTAGGCCTCGGAACGGTGTTACACCTTAACGATTATTACAACAATCTCCCCACTTGTCATACTAAGGCTTCCTCCTATCACTCAGCACCAGCTAATCTGCAATAAACCCAGTCTGTGTTCAGAGACCATATGTGGGCCTATTAGGGGACCTATGTCCCCGAGTTTCCTCTAAAACGAAGATACAAGCAACTCAACTACATATCTGCAAAATTCCCGTTTCTTTTTCATTCATTTACGTGCTACTCGACTGTATTGAATAAGTAGCCGGAATCAAAGCGCTTTGGGATATTATACCGAAAATCTTCATTGTACTTTGCTTTTCCCGACATATGTTTTCGTGGATAAAATACGCCAAAATTGGAAGTGCAAAAATGTTGGATAAATTGTAAGCCATAGAAAGTATGTGTTTAACACAAATGTTATTGCTTGTAATAAAAGGTTGGAAATTGTGGAATTTCCATTATTGGCACATCTAGCGTTTAGCCGAGCAAAGTTGAAACAACTTTTTCGAGAATTTTAATTCCACGAGGTTTGTAGACAGCATACGTTTAGCTGCAGTGCCTAGACGCGTTAGCGGACGTAAATAAAAGCCGTTTGAAATGTTTTTCAGAACAATTCCTCTTGCTTCGTAATACCTAAGGCTCATGACCAGTTTGCCATGCTTTTCTTTACCAAGCGAATTAGACGTGCTACATAAAAAAATAATGATCATGGGTGTGTATAAGTAAATCCAAACCTCTCCTGTCCATGGGCGTCTCTTTTCGGAAGAGTTTTGCCAAGTTGGACCGGATCCTTCAAAACTAGAAACTTTCTCGTCTAACCTACATTATCCTGTCACAGTTTGGTATGCACTTTACACTTGAAAAATGTGAAGTTTCACTCTAAAGTGGATTAACCCTCATGCTTACAGTCCAGCAAGTCAGTTCACCCAACTAACAGTATAAGTCTCGGTGAAATTGCTTCTCGAATGAAGAGGGCTTGGGTAAATTTCACCAACTTCCCACAAGTGTGGCGTTGACAAATCTTCGATTTATCTGTCTAGGACAGAGTATGCATCACTGTGTTTTCATCCCTACGGAGGCGAGATGGCTCAATGGTTAGAGCTCGAATTTACTGACGGAAGGTCCGTGGTTCGAACCCGACCCCTGCCTCTCAACTTCCCTTGTCTCTGCTTAGGCAACTTGGCAGTATCCCAGCCCTCATGCTTCCTTCGGATGGCATGGCTGCTAGGCACCAGAAGGGTGTTACAGCTGAACGATTTTTTCATCCCTACGTTTTCGGGAACTGTAAATGTTTGGTGGGATGTTTCAGTGTCTGATCCGAAGCATTGCCTGAAGGGAACGTCAAGTCAACGCTGGTGAGGTATGGATGACGTCTGTGGAACTAGACGAGCTTGGGTCTGCGACGTATCGACGCCTAATGAAAAACCCTATATGGCACACTGGCGTTCCCTTACCAAAGCTGTTGCCTTCGCTGAGTAGCACTCTACTTACCGACTTCCCACGACGAGATGGCCCAAGTGGTTAGAGCGCGAATTTACTGGCCGGAAGGTTCGCGGTTCGAATCCGACCTCCGCCACTCGACTTCCCCTGTCTAGGCTTGGGCAACCTGGCAGTATCCTAGCCCTCGTGCTTCCTTCGGGTGGCATGGCAGTTAGGCACCGGAAGGCTGCTACAGCTGAACGCTTTCTTTTCTTTTCTTCCCACGACCGGACAGCGACGAACTCCTTGTGTCACCGGTTTTAATGTTTGGCTGCCCATCTACAGTGGTAGTGTCCAGCGCTCGTGTTGTTAGTGCTGACGGTTATGAGGTTAGTGCCCCTTATTCTCCAACCTTCCTGTGAGCAAACCCTTGGCACCTGGAACCAGTAGAGCCTTTGTATACGGCTCGTGTCTGAACAGTTTCAAATTAAAGGATCTCTGTGATGGTTCGAGAATTGTCAGTGGTAATGCATACCCATTTAATTACGGATGTTAGGTTCGGTTATTACGCATCTTACCAGGTCCAAGAGTACACTATCCACCGAGATACACACGTAAACCACTCAATGCTGGTATGTATATGAACGTTCGTACAGTGATTTGAGATAAAATTTGTTCAAGCAGAAGTGAACCACTCCACTGTAGGACTGCTGCAGCCTTGTTAACCGAACGTGTCAGGTTCACGTCACTGGACCACTTATATTCAACCGGCCGTTTCAACCCGGGTGACTGTGGGCGTTTTCACCGTGGTACCCAAGTACACTTCTCAAAGCGGCGTGTACATGCAGTTGACTGACCAGTGCGATCAAGTTGGATGACACATGTTCTAACTGCATGTTGTGTCACAGTCTTAGGTCGGAGAGACTGTCGTTGTCTGCTGTTGCCAACTTACTTCGGACCCTGAAAAGCACTGTCATCTTATCTGTCAAACGCTACATCCGTGCAATGTTCCAGGGTTAACGACCCGAGCGCGTTTCTACGGTTAGAGTACCGACAAATCGCGCATGAATTTCCCAGCATATGGTGAGGTTTTCGATATGGCTGGAATAGTTTAGAATGAGTGTGAGCTCATATTCACACATGATTGGAGAAATTTCGTTGAAGATTCTTTGGAAACAATCTGAAAGAATTTCAAATAAGATACATATCTTTTCCAGCACACCATTTCCTGTTTTTCATCAGGAAAATGCTAACCGCAAATTTTTAGGGAACTCAAGGATACATATTTGTGTCTCATCGGTCCCTTTCATGGGGAACATAGACTGTCTCTACCGCCATCCCTCGGGTTCCCTATGGTCTCCTAATTGGCATACAGATGACGAATCGAAGCTGCAGTGGACAGCTGTCATACTGCTGCGTCTCACATACGTTACTGCCCTGTCTACACTAGGGCCAAGGACGTGGAACATAGTTTGTTTGTGATTGTTCTTGCTGGACGGAAACGTTTGACTGACAGTTGCACCCACATCAACCAGATGAGTGTTTGGTTTGTCGGTAGAACGTTTGCAGGCCCACCGTGTTGCGTTCCGGGGTCCGGTAATCAACATTTGAACCCCTGCTGTTTCAAACACTTCTCGTCTCTTATACACCCTCACCCCATAATTTACGGACAGACGAATGGAGTTTTTTAGTTTCCTCATAGTCTGGGAAATATGTTTGAGGTTTTGCTTAAGGCTGAAGTAAAATAGCTAGACTATCCTGTTGTTTCCGGACCTACTGTGATCAATATACAATTTGATTGTAGCGATTCGACGAACGCACAACGAACTACCATTTGCTGAGCCGAACAAGCATCTGACTGAACTTTACTGTAGAGTGATGTTTTTGCGAAATGGTTTCTCTGAAAGTCAGATATCACACCTTTCGAATCAATTTCTTGTTTTCGTTATACCAGGAACGAATTCGATTAGTTTCACGTTGTCAAAAATAACAGACAGCAAGATTTCTGTACAACATGGGGTATTTGGACTGTTTTGGGAATTTGATTGATAGGCTATTCCGATAGACGTAACTAGACACACCCCAGTCGCTACATCTTCCGCTCAACATAGCCTCAACCCTGTGTGTCTGTTACGAATGCCTGGTTTCGTGTTTTACTCCAGTTCGCTTTGCTATGCATGTCTCCGTTTCACCCACAAAAGTACACTTCACCATAGTGCCCAGAGTGAAATATTGCTCCATTCCCCCCTTCGTAAATTTGGGTAACTATGGTCAGTGAAGGTATTAAGTCAAATTGAAAAGAGCCGAGACTTGGATGTAAGCTATCTTGTGGATCGACGTTTCGATTGTCGAACTTTACCGTTTTTTATCTGTGAACGCAGTTGTTTAAGAATCAAATTGTTCATCATCATCATTATCACCAGCTGTAAGAACCGCGTACTTGTTATACAATGGTTGTAGCACCGGAGGCGGGAGTTGATAAATTGGTGCACATCCAAATACTCAAGTGTACTTTCGAAGGCGCTCAGTAGAGTTCCGGGCTTATATCTCTCACGCGCAACCCATTGCAGGCACAAGTAGGTACAGGTAGGTAAGCATCCGAAGCTCGTATTTCAAGAGCTCCTTCATCTTGTGTGTGCTCCCAGTGCCAGTGAGTTCTTATTTCCAATATCCAACATCGCTTTGGCTTACTAATCATATAGATTTCAAACGGTTTCACAAAGATATGCTTGCGAACGGAAGACAAAAGAGCTAATCTGTCACTTCAACTTTGTAGTCACACAACACAATGTACCTCCTTGGGCGTTCGCTCTCGCAAGCCACGTTTTTGCAAGTACTAAACTGAGTGGTTTTCGATTTATTTGAAATGTGTGTGCCGTTCATCTGATGGTCACGCTTCGCATCATTGCAATCTGACCTCATTCTTATTCAATTTGAGTGGGCAGCGCAAGTGACGGATGACACTGAGCAACCAGTCCGTCGCATGAAGGTACAATGTCTGCGCTGGACCCCGTGTGTCTAAGCTCACAGGATAGAGACTTGAACAATAAGTTAGCGAGGAATTCAGAAGGCTTGTCTTAATGATGCTTGGGTCCGGTGATAAATTGCCCGTCTGTTAGAGAATTTTCGACTCCACTGAATTTTTTGTTGGCCAAAAATACTCATTCACCTGGGTTTTCTCTGCTTGGACTGTTCACAGTGCTTTCAGGTGCACGTTTTTATGTGCCCAGATTGGCAACCCCTCAACAGTACTACTGGTCAAATTCAGTGGCCGACCGATACCGACGAAATGCATCCTTCTTGGTTTCCGATTGGAGCACTGGTCGACAGGTCCGATGACTCCAGCACATTTTCCTTAGACATCTCCAGCATCCCTTTCAACAACATGTGGCCAGACGATCGATTGTGGCTTCCGAAGGCGTTACTTGGTACACATTTTGCTGGGTGGCTTCACTTTACCCGGATGTCTCAACCTTCAAAGGCTTCTCGTCCCGATCTGTTGGCGGACTGCTCGGGCAGCACTAACGCCCTGCAGATAGATCCCTATGAGGTGCCAGCTTATCGTTTGGAATTCTTCTCTCCTTCTGATGGCACAAAGCACAACGGCGTCATTGAGGTAATGAGATCCCGTTAAGATTAGTAAACGCAAGCATTTTCCGTTAAGTGCTTATTGAAAGACCAGAAAACGGAAAGGTCGAAGGGCACAGTCAAGTTTATCAAAAGGTCGAACTGTTTTGTCTTATATTTTGCATGCTAGTCTTCATTACTTCCGATCGATGGCTTCACTACCACGTCTGTTTAGACCAATTAGGCCGTAGGATTATATTGACCCGAGGTCAACAAACAAGTAGGAAGGGTGAAAGGCTCAATAACGCATGAATATTTAGAAGTAGAGCTTTCATGACTGTCTGAGAATTAACAAGGTGTTATGACTGACTGACCAAGGGAAGTGGGCTTTGGTTTCTCACAATGTAACGGAACGAAATTCCAAGTAATCCGGACATAAACTAATGACGAATACAGCTGGTTCGTTAATCCATTCTGATCATTATCATTACGGACTGCTATTGACCTGTAGTGGCCAGTCGGCCGGTAGGCCTAATTGATACACCTGGCTGGCTTGCACAACCTGGCGACGTTACGTAATATAGTTAGCTCGGGTGCACTGGTTGCTTGTTTGTGATCTCTTCGCCGAACTTGCCAGTTGGATTGCAAACGTTTCATCTGAGTGACATTGTCGGTTCACTGATAGCCAACAACCAAGCAAACTACATTGTTCAGCCGTCACATACTTCCATACGTCCATGGCGAAAAATGGGCTACTTCGTAAATGCTCAAAGACCTTAACCTTTTAACCGTTCCGGTATCCACTGATTAATCTACCTAGCAGTGTTTAATTAAAGGGTTTTCCGGTTGTCCGTTTTCCAACTACAGCATGCTTAATATCTTTCAGACAAAACAACATTAATAGGTTCAGGGACATCGTAATCATGTGGGTGATTTTTTGACGTTTACTCTCCAGATATTGTGACATTCAGGAGTTCATGGTACAAAACGCAGACAGCGTACATTAGCACATTTTCAAAATACTATCTGGATTTTCTCGTACCTAGCACAAGTTTATGTTTTTCAGATGGTCGGATTACACAGGATTTTGATATGTAGAACAACATACGAATGATATTTCCCATAGAAACAGAGTCAGGTATCTACTAGTTTTTATCATGGGTTCTTATTCCTGGTTGAAATATAATGAGTACTGTGGGCATTGTCTCGCTGATAGAATTTCAATAGTAATTAATCATCAGATGTCACACGTATTAGGACACTGGCGTGTAGTCTCTTTTGTTCATGTTCCATTGTGCCGAATGACGTGTCGAGGAAGCGGCTGTTAGCTTTGCTTACTAACACAGCCTTAGGTTCACGAGTTTAGCTGACTTCAAGGCATCAAGGTTCACAGTGCACAGAGCTCGGCTGACGCACCGATGCTATTCTGGTCTGGACTTGAAAACAGGTGACGTTGATCATACGGGAGTTGGTTTTATCTCAGGGGCATTAACGGTCTGCTTCTTGTGATTGACATGCACAACCACACGGTTTGTATTCTATAGTGATTCCTTGCAGCGTTAGACAGAAGGATCACTGTATTTACAACTGTTTCTCGCATATAAGTGATAAAACTGCATCGTCTTGACTATGGTGCGCTGTCTGTCAGTTGGATGGAGAGACCCAATGTGCTACAAAGTAACACGACATAGACAGGAGCGATCTGAAAATCGGTTATTCTGAGCAGAAGTTTGTGCACTAATTCAGGCAACATTTCCAGCCTTACGCATACGTCTTCCTTACTGGGTCGCTTACAATATTGATGAACTCCATAAACTAAGATAGAGGAATACATCTATGCATGTTAACGCACCAGAGACGACTTCACCCTTCACATCACTCGATCCTTTAAATTGGAAAATAAAATTGTGTGAAGTGTATTAGTATCGGCTCCTGCGTTCTTTCGCTTCCTCGAGGAAGAATTGCTTCAATTTTTTTGCCGCTGAGGTCATTCGCCCACTTTACATTGTCCATCATCCGCAGAGTGGAGAGCTGATTTTAATCAGTGTCGGGATACAATATTATACCGGTGGACCCTTGGAGTATGGCTTGCCTCCGTAGCACCAATTAGTCTTTCATCCAGTCATTGGACAGCCAATATCAACCTACAAGCGGAGCCATAGACTAGAATCAACTTCGAATTTAGGGAAGTGGGCCCTTTCAAACCATCATGCCTGGATCCTCATTCTCGCCATGGAGTCTTGGTGAATTATTTGTTCCGAAACTACCTTCTCTTAATCTGCTTTGCCAGAGTGTCTTCTGTTATCTTTCACCGGTGTCTTAGAGCCACAGGTGTGAGAGTTGAACCACATTTGACCAGTCTGTTCAGATGGCCTGTCTGTAAGTGAACAGTGCTATTAGGTGTTGGACAAATGTGGAATAACTCACCCATAATGTCACGACAGACATTTCAATGAGGAACGGCGCTCCTCCGGCTTTATCTAATGAACAAAAGGAAACAATACTCTTGTTCCTTCAGGTTGTGGGAACAACAGTGTGATTTGGAATGTGCCCCTTTCCAGGCTAGGTAACGCCCTACTTAAATAGTGATTAGGTATAGAATCGAAACCTTCATTTAGAGCGTAAACATTGTTGAGTGATCATGGTTACTAAGACTTGGTGTCTCGCGTTTAAAGCGACTATTACTGAATCGTGAGTAACAACAAATAGTTTCCTTGTTTCGGAGTAGCTGTATGCTAGGTGGCGTTTTGTGTTGCATGAGTTTCATTTTCCTCTTTTTCGCCTACTCCTTACAGGCGGAAGAGAACGATACGCCAAAATTCTCGATCCAGTCACTGGTCCAACGCCTAAATTTGGACTCGGATGATGAATTAAGACACTGGATGAGTTCGAAATCGAGAATCGGTCCCTGGATGTCAGAACTTTTGGTGTTTGCTTAGAGTTTCGGATACCCTTACTGTCATTGGTCCTGTTTTTAGGCGTCACTACCTCTTAAATCTTTTTTCTCATTTGTGATGACGTTTTTGTACAGGTCCAGCCTAAAGGAATCTGCCGCACAAATGCTACATTTTCACTCCATGGAAAGGCCGTACTACGTTAGCTCAGGTCCACACGAAATTAAAATCAATATCATAAATCATATCAAACTGGATGAAACATTGAAGGTCTTGGTTTAACCAAAGTCGAGTTGTCACGGAAAATTTTGGTCACCGAAGGCACGTCCGAACCCGAGTGTTGACGTATCTTTGACAAGCGTTCCGACTCCTATTTCATCTTAGCCGCGGTGAAGTGCCGAATTTCAGACACGGTGAGGTGTACCGAAAATAGTCACGGACTATTTGTCGGAATGATCAGTAGATCAAAACCGGACCAACGACACAATGAAGTATGATGGACTGGTGTTTATGCAGCACGTTTTGAGCGCACGTGAACTTCAGGTTTTCCCGGAGGAGCACTATGCATAGGGTTTCTGAAAATTCGACAATCCATGACCGGTTTCGCCCTTCGAGCTTATCAGGTAGACACAGCCCGTCGACCTTTTGTTCTACTTAGATCCAAATTGGATGCCATTCGTAAGATTCACTCATTTGCAAAATGATTTGGTCTTAATAGTTCCCAACGGAATCTCTCGTTTGTAGTATTGTTCAGCAATCTTATGAGTAGTGTCCTATCGAGAAAAATATACCGCAACATCTCGAATATCGTGCAGACTGAAATGTGAGACAAAATTCTGGAAGACTACACAGACGTGAATTCGCATGGTTGGCGATTGTCCTTTATCGGACAGTTATTCACCATATTTTGTGGTTCCTTCGTTGGCTCGATGAACAACCGCACTTTCGACCCTCACAGGCAAACTATCCACACATACAGCAACACTGCCAACATAGTATTGTCTAAGTTCGCAAACACCTGGTGGAAACATCACTTTTACTGATACCCGTACTTCGATGCAGTGCAAACAACTGTACGTGGAAAAGCCTTGTGAAAAAGTAGGAAGCAAATGCAAAAGGAAGAGACCTAGAAGTAACCCATTCCGGGTAGCCCATACTGTGGAATACTACTTGGGCGGACAAGAAGGACACTGGCATCCGAAGATATTTTTTGAAATGATCTACCAACCAAGCTTGTACCGCCGCTCCATCAAATTCATTGTCTACTTTCGACAAGCAGCAACTTCATGCGCCGTAATTTGGAGGTGGGAGCCAAAAGTCATCTAACGCTTTGGATTTGTACCGCAAAGTGTCTCGTGGCATTGGCTGCATTTGACCATTCTTGTGGTCTTTTTCCCAATGTATTACTTGCCAACTCTCAGTTTTCGTAGGTATGGCAGGGACTCGGCAAGCAGTCAGACAACCTTATCACGCGTCTCATCCAAGGCATCAAATCCTGTGATCGTGCCAACAGTTCTTAATCGAAACATTATAGCACGTTTTTAACAAGTCCCGTCAGGCATCTCTATTTCATAAAAATATAATCCCCCAGCTGTAACACCCTTTCGGTGCCTAGCTGCCACGTCACCAGAAGGAAGCATGAGGGCTGAGGTACTGCCAGGTTGCCCAAGCCTAGACAGGGGAAGTCGAGAGCCGGAAACCAGGTTCGAATCACGGACCTTCCGGTCAGTAAACTCGCACTCTAACCACTATTTTCCCCACTCCAAAGAGATTTACCAATTGGTGTGGGTTCAGCACCAGCAGCTGACCTAGTTTAACTAGATTATGCATTTCCGCACAAGCTGAGCATCGAAATTGGTCTCAAGATGATGCGTCGCAGTCTCAAGGAACTGAAGCCTGAATAGTGTGTCTTCGATATCCTTAGGAATGATTCCGTCAGGTCAGTTCCCCGAAAGTCATCGAACCGAACAACACTAACCTAGCGCTTTCAATAGGTCTTAGCACCTGGAGCACAACTCTCTCTTTGTTTTTGTTTCGTCTTAGGTTTTGCTAGGCTAACCGGACCTTTACAAAGACGGATGCTGCTTCCATATTCACCCTTAGCTAAAGGAAAACGTCAGTTCCATCCACACCACGGATGTGACTCAGTACCAGCCGCATGTGGCGTTGCCCATCGTGCGCGAGGGTTCATCGGCTTCATAGACGTGAAAGAACATTAGGGAAACAGACGTCAACCCACCACATTAAGCATGCACCTCACTCCAGGGTCGGTTCCTTCCTACGCCTGAGAATGCATAATATGGCTAAAGGTTAGCTGAGATTTTCTAGCTCTCTGAGACTAACTCGCGCATCCTGTTTCGCCAACTAGGAACTCGTGGGTCGTCGTAAACTTAGTGCCATTGTTATGCATGCCATGTCATGAACTCCAAAAGCCCTTATCAATACCGGCCACTCATGTACCAACGTTTACAGATTCCTTATCACTCGGATGACCACACCATACTCCCATCAAAGTTACGGTGCTAGGGTTCCGTATTCATGTTCATCCTGACCTCTCTTCGTTTCTTACGGCCATTCAGCGTGTCTTTCACAACATCCGTATGAACAATCACGTGTAATTGACTTGTTCTCTACCGTAATTTCAACTTCCGTCGGACACTTATTTTCTGTATCCACTTTTGCCCCCTGAGTTTCGTACGCCAAAAGAATGCTGCTTGAACCGAACAGTGTTTTCACCATCAGCCATGATGAGGAACTTAACGTAAACCGTCGAGACAGTCGAATGGTACACAGTAACATTTCCATCCATTGTTGGGTTCAAAATTTACTGTTGGCTTTTGCTTTGATCGTTATACGGAGGGGCTTTATTTTCTTTGTTGCCAGGTTGTCTGGTTTTTCACAAAATGTTGACCAGGGATATTGTTTCACGATGGATGGCTGCTAGTCGCTCTACACGCGGAATTTTTCGGCGGCGCACATGCTTCCTGTCGCTTTACATAGCAAGAAATAGTCATAAGGGTAGATCTGAGGCTAGCGCGAGTGCAGCAGTAATGCACCTTATTAGTCCATTTCATCGTTAGCAGCTACACGAATGACACCAGTGGCTGGTTATCCCGATTCCTTCGAAATATTTGATACTTTGACGAGTTTTCAGCAACCACACGGTTAGTGCGTTTCATCTAGACATGTCACCCTTCTTTGCTCCCTCAATTATGTTTCTGCGGAAGCAGGGCTAGGTTAGGTTGAAGCGAGATTGCTGAGTGCAGTGGCATACTGTTACCATGATTTCGTTGGGAGTGAAAAGAAATCTCGTTGTGAATGCTTTACGCTTGAAACGTAACCCCCACGTAGGCATGAAGGATGTAGCATAACTCATGGACTACTTCAAGAGGTGTCAGTATAGCTGATTTGTGATCAAAATCGCCCAAATATGCATTTGAAATACAATTCCTGAGGGACTAAAGCAACCTTTTGCGTCCTTACTTCTCAAAGACCCTGTTTACAATTTATCAGGACTAATGTCAACACCCAGTTTGAGGGAGTCTATCGGGGTCGAACCCGAAGTCGATGACCTTATCCGCTGGAATGGGAAGTCCGCTCAATTTACTAATGCGACAGGTCAAAATACTATTATAACGCTTGATCACGAATTTTGTGTCGTGAAGTTTCCTCTGTTCTTTTGCTCATTTTCTCTTGTCAGTAGTCTAAAACATTAACTGCTTTGCTGTCTTATTCTAGGGACTAGTATTGCTTGCACTTGCTTAAGGTCACTGTCCGATTCACGTGACTCCCCTGACATTTTCTACCACCTGGAACATTTAATTCAGCACAAGTTGGTGTAACTAGAACCTTCCAACTTTCCTCCTGTAATCCAGCGTAGAAACTAAAAACAAACAAACCAGTATGCTTGAAAATTCAACACCCAGTCACTGAAAATAACAGGTAACAGTGAGCGAGTGACCTTGACCTCCCGCACGCTGTTTACCGGTTGCTCATAGGGCTAGTCATTTCGTTTCTGTCAGTCACTCGACAGATTGGTGGTTAAGTGTGGTTGTTGCAGAAACCCCACCTTAGAAGTGCGGGACGGGCTAAATCCTCGTGAATTCATTCCTCATATCGAAATGTGTATTCGTAGGCAAGATCGCCATATGGGGGCAGTTTGGGTTCGAAGACGGGGAGTAAAGCGTAAGCAAAGATAGGCCATGATTTTGTTTCATAGACAGGTGTTTGCACTGCACGTATAGTTGAACTGGAAAATACGATTTTTAGTCTGAAGGACAAATTGAAGTCCCGGAAACAGAGTTCAGTTCAGAACTGGTAAGTGAACAGCTGGCACCAAGGTGAAATTCCAAACTTGGGTTGGAAAAATTAGTAACCAGTAGGNGAGTTCAGTTCAGAACTGGTAAGTGAACAGCTGGCACCAAGGTGAAATTCCAAACTTGGGTTGGAAAAATTAGTGAACCAGTAGGTGATATTTCCCTACAACTAACCATCCAGCTTCGTGGCGTGAGGTTGATAAAAGTTGATTGTTGGTGGCTTAGTAGAGGTATTCGCTTAAGATTTGATCGGTTTACTGGGTTGGGTTGGGCGACTTGCTGCCACATTTGCCATGCCGTAAGTGGACACGAAGATAGAGAACGATAGGGCGCACGTGCGTTAGCTGGCGTGTTCTTGAAAGATAAGGAAAGAGAGGAACTCCAGCTTACTGTTAGGATCGTAAACGACAGTAAGTGAACAGCTGCCGCTCTGTTAGAGTTGTGGGAACAATTTTCATTCCCGAATGTTAGACTCAAGGAGAGTTTTGGGAGTCTAGTTCACCGATCAGCTGAAATAGTTTTCCTATAGCTCTGGAATTGTTCTATCCATCCATATCACCAGTCTTAGCTGATTGTGTAGACGAATGCAGGATAATGTGTGGTTGATACTTGCTTCATTCTACGGATAGCATGGGCGTGATAGCTACCAGATTTGGGTGGGGTTATGGCAGGAATTTGCTCCAAGACCTGAGCAACAGTATGTTTGAAAGAAGGGGGTCGTGAAGCTTCGGTCAGGCGAACGTTTGGTTTACAAAAATGATATATGCATTACAGTAGAGAACCGAAAAAACGTAACTGGGTCCCAGTTGGAATGACCAGAACGAGTCCAGTTTTAGCACTACTCAGTAGGGAGCGGGCATTTCAGATAAACTTCACAAATAACCCTGTGGCCA